CAAAGTAACTCCCTCAAAAGAGAAGGTTCCTCTACTTCTCTAAATAAAATTAAAGTCCTGTATTTGCCTGTTTTTCCCTAAGACATTGTCCCTAACATGTCCTTGACAAAGACAGCTTTATTCCCACCTCTCACATTTCATGAGCAGTTGAGATCTGACAACTGTGGCTCTTTTAAGAGGTGCAATGATGGCTCATAAATCAAAACCCCACCTCAAACGTTGTGGGATGTGATTCATTAACTATGTTTATTTCACCTTTTCACTAATCTAGGTTTGTGCTTGGAAACGGTTGAAAAAAACAGTAGAGAAAAACTTCAGATGGACTATTTAATGGCATTAAAGCTTTGCAAAAATAACCTGCAAATAAGGTCTTTGGCCTAAGAAATAGCATTTGCTCATGTATAGTCAAAGATAACAACACAGAGTCTTAAGCTTGTAATAACTTTGTTTAATGTTTGAAACTGAACTGTGCAATAGCACAATTTCAGTGCTTATTTCAGCAGGGGATTCGCAAATCAAGATATAGATATGTTCCACAATCTGAGAAGGATATCCGCTCCCGTTGGTGGGGTGAGAACAATACTCACATTCCCAGTTTTCTACTAGCAGCAAGCTCTCCTAGCAGGCAGCATGTTATTATGAACTTATGGCATCCAGCCTCTCAGTGCCAATGTAATTAATACAAGTAACCAAGCTTCCCRACACGTGCCCAGAGAAGAATTCCAGTACTTTAAAACATCCGCAAAACCTTAAGAAAACAATTCCTATTTTCCTTATAAAAGGATCAAAATATATTCTCACTTATCAAACAATATTTGGCTCAAAGACGAGACAGTTCATACTTATCCTAAACTATTTCAATACTCATGCGACAAAACAAACAAAAAGTTCTTCCTTTAATTACTAATCATTCTATGACCCTGGGAAAGATGCATCAGACTCTTTTGTTTTAAAAAACCTCAGCAGTGCAAGACTTCAAAATGTCTTTTTTCCATCAGTGAGTTTTCCTTTAAAGCTGTAATAACGGGATGGGGTTGATCCACGTGTGAGTTAGGACCTACGAGGCTATAAGCCATCCTGCTGCAGGACTCYGGGTTGCATCATCAGGACTCCGGTTCTAGGCTGTTCCTACCGAGATGAATGGGAAATCGGAGCACGTTGGCTCTGCTCAGGAAGCCRCGTAGCTGCTCGTCTAACAGCCTTTACAAGCCACGCCGTACGGCACCTCACAGCTGGCCAGCTTGCTTAGAAAAAGATCATAATCTGCTCACGTAAGACAACAAAAATGAAAGTAAAAATGTTAAGAGGGAAGTTATCAAGGTCTCCTTCCTTCCTATACCACTCCCTCTGAAAAGCTGTTACCACACGGGTTTCTGAAAGATGAAACAGAGTGGGATGCCAAAATATTAATGGCGTTTCATTAAAAGATCGCAGCACTAATTGTAGCATGTTAAAAATAGAGTGTGAGCTGAGGGTGAGGGGGGAAAAAGGTACTGCAGATATTAAGGATAATTTCTCGTCTTATAGTTTTTAATGTTATATTTTAAGCTGCTAATATAAGCATTTATAAATACATATCTCCTTTTCCAGAACATTAGTGACGTTCTTTGGAACAATTAACGAACTTTTCAAAGCAGGCAGAAAAGCTGGGCATACAAAAAGATAATCTAAATAGCAGTTTACTACCTGAAACAAAGGGCAACCTTATTTGAATATGAAGCAACAGATATATTGGTGATATGACATTAAAGCCATGACAAAATAAGAGTAATAAAAGCTAAATGGAAAATTAATAAATAAATGGAGATAACAAATGAATGCTGTCTCATCAAGATCCTTCGGGGCAGCTGAACGCTTATCCCTCATGATTTTACTTATATGAATGACTCTGCATATAATGTATTCTAGTATTAAGCTTTTAGTTTCTAATGAAACATATTTAAAACAGCAAAACTAGCCTTAGCAAGGCAAAGTTGAACTACTCTTTTAAACTGATTATGACAACGTTTGACTATCTACCTGTATAATTACAGAAACTTAACTTCAAGGCCCGCTGCCTATGTATCCCAACGCAACTCCACCCCTAGTAGGGGTCCACGTGCCTGAAGCCTGTTGTAAATGTAATATAAGTAACACATAATGATTAAACTTACCAGAAGCACCTCTACACCTGTCAAATGCCAGTGCCTGGCTACCGGCACCCACTGGAGCCAGGATTTCCATTAAGGTTAAGAGGCTGCTGGGCAGTGCGGGGGCTTCCCCCCGCACCAGCCTGTGGAGATCCCTGATTTATGTTATAGACACTTCCCATGCAAATACCACCGGCTGCAGCCATCGAGTTTTACACACGACTAAATTTTATGCCACTAAGCGCGTGTGTCCCAGGCGAGCCCGGCGCACTGAGTCTGCGACGTTAAACGACCATAATAGCCCCGCACATAAAAAACTGTCTGTCTCTGGGCACCAGGGCGACCGCTCTCCTTTCCAGCCGCATCTCGCTCTCAACGGGAACAAAGAGGAGCGCGAGGGCAACGGCCCAAGCGGTATTTAACCCGAGTTAGGGGTGCCCGGCCCGGAGCCGAGCCCGCCTTGGCGCGGGGCGGCGGGAAGGGCCGGGCGCGGGGGAAACCCGTGACCCCAGGCCCGTGTTTCACGGCGATAACCCCTCCGGCGCGGGGGCCCTGCCGGTAACGGGGCCGCGGGCGCCCCGTCCCGGCGCGGCGCTTCCCTTCCTCTTTGCTTAGTCACCGCGGGAGCCCCCTGCGCGAGGGGCCGGCGGCGGCGCCGCGCGGGGCCCCCCAACCCTCCGCCGGGCCCCGCCGCGTGCGGAGGAACCGGGGCCCGGGCCCC